ATTTTTTTTTAGTAAATCACAATAAGAAGTTTAAAATATCTTTAATCATATTTAAGATGAATAAACGTTACATCAATTCAATGATTGATCGAAATTTAAGCAAACAATTTGAATAAAATACTCTTCTTTTTGACAAGTATTACGATTTTAATACAAAAATGGATAATTAAGAAGCACTTTACCATAACAGAGAGAACTGATGACAAATTCATGTTGAGGTTAATCAACGTTCTAGTAGAACGGTTCTACTAATATCGAATGAAGTGAAAGGTTTGTTTTTCGTTTTTATAACTTTTTGTTTTGGAAAATAGTCTATTTAAAATTGTCACAAACTAGATGATTTCTTGATGTTTCTCAATCGAGAGCTGAGATCAAACTGAATTGAGTTGCAAGTGAAAACTATAGGCACGACTAAAAAATTGAATTTATGAAAATTGAAGAATAGAATAAGAGAGTATCATTAGGAGGTTGATATTGAATGTGGTGATTTGACTTTAGAAGAAGAAAGGTAGAGGTAGAAATGCAGTAAGAGACAAGTATTTCAAAACGTCAAACTAATCAATGTTTGCATTGTTATTGAAATGCGGAGGGACGGGATTATAAAAGGTTTTATTACCTTCGAGAGACGAGTCGTCGATAGTCGGGTCGAAGTAAATATGTGAATACAATTGTAAAAAACAATGGCTAGCGACAATGAGTTTTCTTTGTAACAATGTACAATCGGGAACAAAGTTCACAACAGATGCTAAAGTAGAGATGAAATTTAAATTATATACCAATAAAATATTTTCTCAGACGATAATAAAACAAAATCTATATTTTATTTTAAAAGTTTATTTATTGTACTTCCATTTCAGTAAACAATGTCACAAAGATCTATAGCATAAACTATACGATTGTTATTGTTCCAAAAAAAGGAATAAATTATGGAAATATCTAAAAAAAAAATGAAATTTTTTGCCCTAATACGATTGAAAACAAATTTTTCTTATACTATAACTGTGTATCGATTAGTTTGGAATGCCATAAGTTTTGGCTGGAAGACCATAGGCTGTAGCTGGTACCTCATAAGTTTGTACAGCAGCTTCGGTTTTTGGTTGGTAGCTAACTTGGTTTGAATTTGGGAAATCAAGCTCAGGCACATATCGGTACACTGGTGCTGGGGCAACGACTGGGGCATCCTTTTTCACTTCGGCACTACCAAAGCTCTTGGTCAATTGTGAAATGAATGGAATTCCTGAGCCTTCAATAGTATGAATGAATGAATATTGGATTAAAATACGCCATTAACTATGCAATTTTCTTTGGGACAGAAAAAAAACCAAGCGAAATGTGTGAATACATACCGGCGGTTTGAATTGCTTTTTGAGCTCCAGAGATAAATCCTTGAATTGGTGCAAGTGAGTCACTGAGTGATGGTGCCGGAAGATTAAAGCTTGACAAAGTTGTGAAAGCAGGCAAAGCAGCTGGCTGAACGGCTGGCAAACTCTTTTGTGGAACAGCAACTGGAACTGGCAAAATGATTGGACCCTTCTTCAAGTTCTTGAGAATGATGGCTGTTTTGGCCAATTTGGCTGCCTTTAATGCTGCGAGTTTTTTCAAAGCGACGACCTTCAATACTTTGGCTTTCTTGAATGTACGGAACGGAGCTGTGATGGCACTCACGAAAGCAACTTTAGTTGCCTTCAACTTAATTTGCAATTGAACCGAAAAATAATGCATTAATGCACATGAACACATTTCGAATAATTGTATTGAGTATACTTACAGCGGCACCAGTTTTGAGAAGTGCAATTTTCGTCTTTGCTTTGACTTCTTTGGCAACGGCCACCTTTGCAATGATATGCGGCGCCTTCAGTGCGAGAGCTTTGGCTTTTACTGCTTTCACGGCAATTTTGGCCTTGAGCAAACCAGCTTCGGACTCATTGAGGTAGACAGCCCCGATGATCTGAAAAGATTTTCCATTTTTATTGTTAGATTCACTCATAACACTTGGTCTGATACTATATTAGGTTAATCTTTATTCGATTTTCCCTTTTAGATTTATAAATTGGTAAAATTAAAAAAAAATGTTTTTCAAAACAAAATTCCATTGATTCATTGAGACTGGATGCAGTGTATGTATTTCATTAAGAAACACTTCAATAGCAAATTATCACTTTCCACAAATCTCATACAAATCGAAAATGTTTGATCAATTCAAGTAATTCGAAAATGTGTATTCTAGCACCGAACGATTAAACTTTTAAGAAAATGCACACAAAAAAGTTTCACACGTGTTCATAATTTCCTTGATGTGGAAAGGAACCACGGGCACTTATCAACATTTAAGCAATATCCAATACAAATCGTGTGTCTTTCCAAATAAACTATGATTTCACTATCTTAATTCAATCGAATGATAGAAATAATAATAATATATATATATCGAATTACCAATAGAATTAAAATCGTTTTCAAATGCATTTTGATAATAATTTGAAAAGTCCAAGTGTGGCTTATCACTGAAACTGCACTAATACACAGTGTTTACAAATTGAAGTCAATGAGTGAACTGGTGCTATCAATTTCGATTCAATCAATTTTTATACAATTTACAATTGTTTATCGAAAATTGTAAATGGGCAAATTTTCAGATGTTATTTACCCCACTTGATGTACAACAAAACATTTTGTAGCAATATCAAACAATGAAAATCGTTGGTTATTTTACGAAAATGAACTGAAATCGACGATTTAAAAAAGGTAAGATACTTCATTGGCAAGTTCATGTGGTCATCGTGCATTTGTTAGGTCGCATTCCATTTCGATTTCGTCACTGAACCACTTTTTTTTGGCTCGAACATGTACAATCATGGTAACGCACCAAGAGATATTAATAACAAAATGCATTACTTCCATAAGACTCATCGTTATGTGATGAGACTGAGTGTTATGCACTCAGGCGCTCCAATTGACATGCAATTGAATGATTGAATCTAATAAATGCGAAACGAAAATACCACAAAACTTGAATGATTGAATTCAAGAGAAAAGGTTTTTCGTTGCGGTTAAATTGCCAAATGATATTGTTATTCATAGAGAACCTATCCATACAGGAATGCAAAAATGAGCGTCAAAATGCATGACATTATTTATGACGTCGAACAATGAGTTGTCAAACATCATCGGCTTAAACGAATCGATCATCGTCGATGAAGTTTACAAATGTCCAATCACAGTCGATTCAGTGTCTTTTAGAATGCATTTTTAGCTGCATTTGAACGAAACCAGAGTGGAAAGCTAATATTTTTCATGTTTCGTGTACAAACAAAAGAAAAGACACTCTTATGAATGCGAAAAAAAACTGTAAATTGGTTGATCATCACGACGCTGCTTAAGGTTTTGCATGTAAAAATTCGCTTTCAAGGCATGTGTGGGCTGTAAAGTAAGCAATAAACACGATCCGAGATTAATGTTTGTTGTTGCTAATGAACGTTCCGATATTTTGCAGCAATAATTGAATAAAGATGTAATAACAATATCATTTTCAAATATATTCAGGGCACATAATCGTTGCAATTTTTGTTTGACAGTGTTTGGTTGTCGGGGCGAATTTAATTATGAACGAACACAAATATTGTGAATGATGACATGCGAAGCAACTTTTTATGTGATGAATTTATGTGTGTGTGTGTGTTTTTTTTTCACGTTTCAAGTTTTGCTTTCTTTTTCTCTCTTTTCATAACCTTTTTCGGCATTTTGAATGCGACACGACGCATTCAAGTAATTATGACATTATAGACAAAGAGGTCGATCAATTACAACAAAGCATTTTAATTGTATGTTGCTATGCATACTTTATTCATGTGAGATATGCCTCTTTGCAAGCACTCGAAAACTCGAAAATGAATGTATGTATAGCAATCGTAATTCTATGCAAATCGGGTTTTTTTTTTGTTGTGTTCCGATTTTACTTCAGACGATTATTTCATTAAACGAGAGCTGATGATTTTTTGCTGCATTTTATACTGTTTCAGGCATACTTACGTTACTTATATTATGCGTGACGATTTCGTTTAAAAAAAAAAACAATTTCGACAGCTATAGATTACAAATCGTCAGCACAAATTCTGTGGTAGAATTAAATAGATGAGAGGGAGAAAAAAAAATCTGAATTTTTCATCGATTTATTCAAAATTCATGAAAGATAATGAATTAAGACGGTGGGAGAAAGAATGCAAATGTTCTATAATTTAAGTGCAATTGTTTGTGGCATTTAAATATTATATGCGGTAAATAGTTTGCATTTCATGAATGAAAACTGGTCCATTGTATCGGTATGGCGTAAAAAAAACCGAAGACGGTTTCACTCTTTCTTCTCCATTCGAAGCGAAACTTTATATCAACCTTGATATTTACGTTTCTTTTTTTACATTTTAAAGCGAAAAAATTGATGTAAACCACACCGAGAACATGCTAAATCCAACCTAAATTATTCAAATTAACAAGATTTAAACGAGTAAAAACTAGACAGAGCGAGAGAGAGAGAGAGAGAGAGAAGGGGAGAAAAAGTATTCTTTTATAAATTTTAAAACCAGAATTTATTTCTTTTATTGAGAGTGTTTGCTTACATTCAAAGTTCATAAGTGATGAATTTGTTAATTAAATAGATTTTAATTTTTTGTTTTCTTTTTTATTTGTTTTCTTTTTTATTTGTTTTCTTCGATAAATAAATAATTTGATATGTGATAAAAATTATTAGAATATTAAAGGTCCGCAGTTCATCTGCAGTTCTATATGATTCCCTTCAATTTCTATGTTCGTTTTTCTCCCATTTCTTTTTTTTCCGTTCTTTCAAAAGCTTAAAGTCTAAATGAACGGTCTAGAATAAAAACAACGTACTGAATGGTTGTTACCATTCTGTACGTTGTTTTTATTCTAGAGCGTTCAAATGTGAATTATCCTTAATTATGCTCTATATAATTTGTTGTAGGTATATTATCAATAGTTGAATGGTAATTGCTCCTTTTGCATCAACGTAGACATCGAAAGTCGTCGTCGATTGGCTAGCAAACGGCGTCGTCTGCGTTCTTCCTCACGTGCTAGTCTCCGTTCCTGAAATATCCGATAAACTAAATAAATAAAACGAATCTTATTTTTTTATCATTTCTTTTATAATTGAAATCCATATCAAACAGTTACCGAAAAGTGGACGGAATATCGCCCCCTGTGCACTGCGTTTATAACGTTTTGTTGAATCTTGTGAAATACCGAATATTGAGCTTGTTGGTGGTTCTTGTGTACGAATATAATCTTCAAATGTTGGTTGTTTCTTCTCACTAATGACAGTTGACGGTTTGTTATTGCTGTTACCACTAAATGTTTGACCGTTGCCGGCCTGTTGGAATAAATTATCCACACGCTTCAAATTGTCTTTGTCAAAGCGATACAATTGATGTATAAAATCCTGATATAGTCGTGATGCTAAATTACTTTGCGCATACGGTGCGGTTTTATCATTGAATGCTGTTTGCTCGGGTAGTGGTGCCAGATTGCTGTCATCGGCAGCTTGTTGTGCTAATGCATTCCATATGAACATTGCATTTAGCATAAAACACTACAATAACAAAGAAAAAAAGGGAGATCGCACTTGATTCAACCTTTCTTTTTCCATTCAATTTGTTTCAGAAGGCAAATTATTCTTAAACTCACAATTGTTAACTTATTCATATTGGTACTATTTTCTACTGGTTGGTTCTATTTTTTCGGAATTTCTTTTTTATTTAAGTAGAACTTTTCACAAAAACAAATAATAAAAAAATACGGTCAACAACAATAACAGAAAATTAAAGGTGCAAAAGAATGATGAAAAGAACAAAATCTGATGATAATTTGAAATGATCTCGCGATCGATTGCAACTCAACACTGAAACATCATTCACGTTGGCATTTTGCCTTTATAGTAGCGTGGAAGCGGCATGAACGATGTGTGAAAATCACTAATTTCGCGGCTCTGTGTATATACATTTTGAATTAAGCATACACGTGCTATACAAACATATAGTATTATTATCAATGGAGATACTGATGAGATTCCTCCCTCTCCATTAATCGGACGTGTTTTGATCACTTTTTTTGCGTCGGCATCATCACTGACTTCTTTTTTTTATTTCATCTATGTTTAAGTTTTCACTTTAATGTGGCTTTTTTCGGTTGCAACTCTTAGAGCGAGAGTCGGAGAGACGGGGTAAAGAAGAGAATGAGATTGATTCTCATTGCAACAAGTTCACACTCGTTAAAATACAATCGAAATGCGCTTATTCACATTTCAAAATGGGGACCAAAAGCCAATTTACAGCCTTAATTTACATAAATAGATTTGTTATTTATTTATAAATTTGGGTGATAATTTTGTGGGCAGCATTTCATGATCAAAGTTGAATTTTTAACCGGAACGATGTGACGAATGCGTTCATAATGATGAATATGCGTTCATTTTAAATTTCATAAAGTTATTGAATCATGTCAGTATTGACATTTGTTGATTGGATAAGAAATTATTTTGCGATGACGCTTATCGCAGAGCACGGACCAATCAACAATCTGATTAATAACGAACAAACTATTTAGGCGAGTTCTTTTCACACTTCAACAAATCTTAATTGAATTATCTCCAATTAAGCCATTGAACTATTTAAATGTGGAAAATCAATAAAGAGATCTCAAGCAATGGCATACGTGCGGTTTTTTGCTCTGCTCATGACGTGCTTGTTTTGTTTGTCGCACGCCAAAGAAAAAAATCGACATGTTTGACCAATTAGCTAAAAAACAACAACATATTTTCGAAATGAAATTATTCAGATATTGTGAATTCTGGTTGAAAACAAGACATTTTCGGCTCTCATTGTTTATAAATGTGAATCATATAGCAAATATATAATGTACTTTTGCTATTTACGTGAAATTTCAAGTGCCGGTAAACACACATACACACCAACCAATGATAACCAGTTATGGTTTACATCAAAATCCATTGATGTAAAATAGGCCCCATGCTAGAAATATACATAATAAATGGCGTTCATAGCAAAATGTTGTATGTTCAACAAAAATTTCCAAAAATAAATATTTCATGGTTCCGAATAAATATGCAAATTGTTAAGACTTTGTTCCGGTCGTTATTTAGAATGTTTGATATCAAGCATTTTTTGTGTGTGTTTTGCCATTTGTTTTTGTTTTTAGACCCAGTTGAGATGCCAAGTGATTTGCATGTCGAACCAGTTTAATCATCTTAAATATAAACGATGAATTGTTAACATGCCACCACGTGATTTTAAGCGCATCGCAAACCGTTAACACAATGAACCTATTGCCTTTACGCTTGTCATGATCTTTTTTTTTGCTCGCCACATTTTTCTTGATGACATAACAATAATTGTATCATTAACATACATTGTTTGTTGTCGTCGCTTTTGTTCCATTTTTTATGCTTCATCAAAAACTTGAATTATTTACATTTTCTTATTTAATCCGCATGGGTTGGGTAAGATTTTTGTTTTGTTTTTTGCTTTTGGAACAAAAAAACATAAATTTGGAGTTTGTATGAGACGTCACGTGACATTCCAGTTATTTCAATCCAAAAATAAATAAATAAAAGATCTTTCAACTGATTCGAAATATCAAGCAACCGAATTAATATGATGATGATAAGAAACGCGTTTCAAAAATGCGCCATGCAGGCGCCATAAATACAATTGGATCAATGCATTCCAAAAAAACTTACCTCTGTCGATCAAACTTACTTTCGGTTTCGGTGTCGATTTTGCATTTCAATTTGATTCTGACGCATTTTTTCTTCGTTTTCTTTCGGTTGATGTCGTTTGGTTTTTATTCAGATTGCAAACATTGATTTGCATTTTATGTGTTTTAATTTTGCATTTTCGTCATTTAAAGACTTTCTGTCTCTCGTCAAACGATGACCGCACATTTTCGCAAATAACACATTTGGTTCATGGATTTCATTCCAAAACATCCAATGCATTTTTTTTTTTCTCGAATTAATTAAGAAGATTTCATGTGTATCAATGCATGTGATCGCTTGTAGACCGCTTGTGCAGTGCGTCAATATGTGCTTTACTGATATCAGTCATTCACTGGGGAAATCAATAAATACCAAACAACATTTCAGGCAAACTAAAAGATTGGTAATTTTTTTTTTTTAAATATCACCTTTCACATGCTGCGCATTACTTGACGTATTCAAACCATTTAGCACCTTTGATCGGTTAGACAGTGAATCATTCCGAAAAAAAATTCTCAAACAAATCTTTTCAACGAAAAATAATTCAAATCACCATTCTGAGAAACCATTTTTGCTGTTTTTCCTCTTTCGGAGTCAAGGTATACTGTTTTGCAATCAAGCATAAAAATAGTTAGAAGCATGAAATAAATGTGAATCATGGAAATTTCCATTATTTTTGCCTGAAATTTTCGCTCGTGATCAAATTGATAATAAATGCGTGTTTTTAGTGTGCGGAAGGCAAAACACATAAAAATTAAGTAGTTTTATTGCATTTTGATTACATCAGTTGATTAGTTCAAGATTATGGTTAATAACCATTGCTTATGAGACGGAAGTTCATCGACATTTTAATGTTATTTGCATTAAAATAGTATAGATCGAGGAATTTCTGAAGTTTTTTTTTTACCTCGAATCCCATCGGACATTAAATGGTAATTTATATATCGTTTTTAAATTAAGCTCGAATGAAATTCACAAAATAAATCGAAATTATTGAGGTGGCACCTTAATGAATTCACAGAAGAGCAATAATTATTAAATGAAATGGTTTATGTTGAACTTTAAATTTAAAAGAAGAAAGACGAAAACGTAAAGAAATGTTAAAATTAAGACTTTGAAATATATTTAAACAAAGAATTCAATTTGGCTCCATAAATGTCAGTAGACTTGCAGCCTCTTTTAAAATTGTACCTTCTGCTCATAGAACGTTACGCCCGAAACAAATATATTTTAGTTGAAGTGGTACAAAGTGAATAATGTATTGTTGCCAAAAAAGAGTTTTGGACCTTTCCTTTGTGATCGTCTGAAAAACTGGTCGTATAGCATTGCAAAACACAATAAAGAGCAATAATTCGCCGAGAATTTCTTTCAAAAGGTCAGTGGCCATCACCTACCGAAACATACGAAATTTTGAGCCAAAGCGTTCGCTAGCCTTGGCAAAATAACTTCTATTGCAAAAGTGCTTCTCCGGCTCCTCAAAGCGCCACTGACATATATTCCTCTGACGAACAGTCTGTATAATTTAGTCGAAAAAGATGGCGATCAAAGTCATTGAATTCAATGATTTTTTTTTTAATAAAATTGATGAATTGAACATTTTGTCGGCTAATAATAGTATGCCTATGAGCAATTTTACTACAATCTCAAAGAACCAGGCGCTCAAATCCACTGTCAAACGTACGTATGCTATATTCACAGCTATAGCCTATTGTATACAATGTTATTGTTGTTGTATAAAAGTGACAGTGTAAATTTTCGGTTTTTGGGCGCGTGGTTCTTTCGATACTACAATCAAATAGTTTTTTTTTTTCGTTTTAAATAAAACGCAAAATCCATGTATATTTTTTTTCATTTATTAATTTGAATTATAAGCAAATTTTCATTTTTCATTTATTTTGTATTGTGTGTAATGCTGCGCAGTTTTTTTTTTATTTTATTTATTCATAAAAAAATGTGGTCTGAAGAAAGATCTTTGTTTTAAGTTTTATTTTTACAACTTACAACAAATAAATTTTGTTCTCACAGTTTTTTTTTGTATTTATTTTTTCTTCATTAATGTTTTTTTTTGTTTTTCATTTTGGTATCTTTGGTATTTTCACCCTAATACACGTCAATTTGACAAATCAATATTTGACGGATTTATTATAGTTTTTTTTTCTTCATTTCATTCTGTTTGACACAACACGATAAATAAATAAAAATAAACAAAAGCAACTGGAAATATATAATATTAACTAAAATGTTTTTTTTCTTCTTCTTCTTCAATTCTCCTTAAATACAACCCAAATTGGCAATTGTTTTGAGTTAAGTATTTAAGAAAGAAATCATTTATATATTAATTTATTTATTTATTATTATTTTTTTGTTAATTTTATATTCGGTTCAACACATTTTCGCGGCGAATGTGTGCGACGTGTGAAAATTTGCGAACAAATAATTTACATTTAAATAATAATCTGAAACTGCGTTATATATATTTATATGACAAATTCTTTTTTCCTTTTGTTGTTGCAATAACCAGGCAACGGTATAAATGGAGAAGAAGAAAAGAAAATTAAATGAAATACTCTCATTCTCTAAGTTTGTGCTATTTCTAATGCAAAATTGCCGGAGAGAATCGATGTGCTGTTGCCCACAAACGGATTTCACACTTGTAAATTACAATGTAATACACAAAATTTTCGTGCGAGAGCGAATAAGAGAAAAAAATAAGATGTATGGGCGCACAAGATTCTCTCATCAAACAAAATTAATGGAATTAGATTCATAGTTTGAGTCAAATTCATTTGACATTTCATAAAAAATAAGGATTCTCACTTTTCATGAACAGAAGAAAATCCAGTGATTTTTGCTACTTCGTCTTTTATTTTTTTTATTTTTAATATTCTCTATAAAGATTTCATTTTTTTTTTTAGTTTGGAACGTTGCTGAACAAAGGTCAAATGTTTGCATCTCAGTTTTTAGATAAAAAAAATGTGCGTTCTCCCGCTTTTAATCGAAACACTCGCAATGTGCAGTCAAATCCTTGAACCAGACACAAATTATTTTATCTAATTAACATCATGTTTTTTTTAATATAAAGTGTATTTACGCGTC